ATATTTATATTATATAAAATTGCCGCCTCATTCTGTTTTCCGGCATGGCACCCATTTATTTGCTGCCTTACCAAAAAAGCTCTTAGTTTTAATAATATTTTTTTATCATGTATTTATACAGCAGCTGTTATACTCGAATGATTACTTCAGGTAATATCATAACACCAATACCCCTGAACTGAGGAGCAGAACTACCAAGGAGAGGTGAGGTAAAGACGAGGTGCAGAATGAACCTCAAAAAATTGTGATGATCTAAGTAGGGGGAAACTGCATAGAAATAAGGGAAACTGCATAAAAATAATAGAATGGAACAGAAATTTTTTAGTCTAAATTTAAATATTTGAGTTACTAAAGAACTGAATTTAATGCTGTTTTAAAATTTACCTATTCTTTCTTTAAGAAGTCATTGAAACATGTATTTGGCCCCCAAAAATACATATGGGAATTATTGCCATAGTGACCTCAATAGATATGTAGAAGCGTAGATACTTTGCTGCAATAAAATCATGACGAATTGCTAAGCACCTTATCTACCCTATAATTTCATCATATAAGTAATAAATGATCGCCAGTGCGTTGCTGCACACAGACCATTGCAGGCTCCAGTAGCAGACGGCCACGCTGGGAAACTTTTGGCGCACGTGTACGGATGGATTTAGCAATCTGCGCAAAATTAGCGCTTAAGTTTCACCCTTAACCCCAACTAACCCTAGAGAGCAGTTCCTGATAACAGCACACAGGCGGGGGGCGAACCTGGAGTTATAATTTTGGATCAATAAAATAGTGAAGAGACGTGGAAATGGAGGGGGAGAAAAGAAAATTTAAAAAAAAAAAAAAAAAACATCTGTTCAATGCCTAATTTCTCAAGGTAAACCACAAGATGATGAAGGTTGGAGATCACCTACTCAAAGATCACCCACTCAAAGATCACCCTTGGTTGAAGCAGAACGAGCAAGAGCCGTTTGCCCAGGGCTGTCCTCAGTCACGCTTTGAGTGTCCCCAAGGATGGAGGATCCATCCCCTTTGGGCTGGGGTTCACCAACGTACCTTCACATACTCCTGCACCACTTGCTCGGGGGTGTCTCCCAAGAAGACGTAAAAATCAAGAATTCCCCCGATGGTCCTGTAAGTGACAGCCGGCGCTGGCTGCAGGGCGAACTCTGCAAGCAAAAAATGCACAAAAGCAATCTGGGATATTACCTAAATCTCAAATAACTGTGATGCCGATAGGAAAGATATAAAAATTGTTTAGGAGAAGACATCGAACAAAAATATTCAAGGAAACCCAAAACCATTATTGGAGCGTGCAATGCCGGTGGAATGGTTTCGGCTCTTCTTTTTTTTTTTTCTAAAAATGTCTGTATTTACATTCCTTTACAGTCCAGAAAGAGAAGAGAAATCCAGCACAACTTCTTCTCATTAAATTTTCGGTCTCAAGATGCTTGAATATTTGTTAAGCACCCAAATATGTACACACTTATCTAAGGGAAATTAAGGCCATATATTTACAAGCGCTACAAATTTAGGCTCAGATTTTAATATCTTGTACCGAAACGTCCCTGAACATGAACAAAAATGCGCACGAGCTGTACGACGCTGGTCTTGCAATACAACCTTAATGCTGCTCGTATAGGAAACACAAGTAAATGCTTGAAAAAATGGCTGCAGTCACAGATTTTAAGACAACTTTCTTCAAAATTTAACATGCGACCGTATTTAAAAAAAAAAAAAAATCTACATCAGCTCGGCAAGATCACAGTGCAATAGCCTTGCAGATCATTTAAAAAAATATATATATTTTACAATACTTAGAGCTATGGAGAAGGCATTCTTACCCATGGCATTGCAGATCATTTAAATAACATATTTAATTTTTTTTTTGCAATACTTCTGGGGAAGACATCCTTACCCATGGCATTGCTATTCATCAAGAAAACACCAAGAGAGGCTCCAGTGTTGTCTTCCAAACACAAGAAGAAAGTCTGAACGCCATATAAGTTATCCATGTTCTTGAAGGAAAACAGAAAAGCTGATTAAAAAACCCCAATAACTATACGCACCCTGCGGTATCTCAAAAAATATATCACAGGTGAGGTTAAACTTGTCAAAAGGAAACAAACATCAAAAATAAAATTGTCGACACTAACTTCATTTTTTAAATTTTTCTCTCTTATGGGAATCACTTTAAGTTGCTTAAAATCTGTTGAAAGCACAAATTTGGGGAAACCAACCTTCAGTGGAGCCATTTGGATAAGAACTATCTTCAAACCTCCACACGCCCGTTATTTAAAAGATGATAAAATTGCATCTCTAGTAAGGATGGAAAGCAAATAAGGCGACAATTTCAAGCGTTGCTGATAATGAGGCAAATTCTGGGTTTTCGTTCAAAAACCGAAATAGATGTAACAGCCCATAGACGGTGTCTCAAAGCTTTGAAAGATAGTTCTTCTAGAGCATTAATTAACTGCAAACATCGAGCTGCTCCCCAATCCCCTTCACGTCACCCCTATTTCAGGACTTACTCCAAATTCAGCGTAAGGATCAGCGCTGCATTAAACGGTCTCAGTTTAACACTCGTTTTTTATTATCTCAAATCATGAAGAACTACGTTGAATAGAGGTTGAGGCGCTGTAGTTATAAATAAGCTGGTTTAGGGACTCAAACAGAATCAAGTGTAAAAATATTCTTATTATTCCTTCTTTCAGGATCTACATTTTCTTGCTCCTTAGCATTGATTCTACACCAGAAATTGTTTTCTTTTTTTTTTTTTTTTTGCAACGTCACCTTGTCAAGTGCTTACACACTCTACCAAATATTTCCTTTTTCTCGTCAAGCCAGCAATCTATGAATAAGCACAGCAATTGGCTGTCTGTTTCCCCCAAAGTACCCCCCAAAAAATGTTGCGTGTGGGAACACAAGGCAGAAAAAGCAATAAGCAAAAAAATGAGTATGAATACCAACGACTGATTTTAAATCACAAATTTTGCAAGTTAATGCAGTAATAGAGCAATATAGTGTCAAAAACTCGCGGATTCAGGGTGAAACATCTCATTGCAGATGGAAGAAGAAGCTTTTATAGTTTTTGAAAACCAGGTGCCCTAGAAATCACCTTGGAAAAAAAGGCAGAAAACGTAGAAACAAAATAATTGCTGGCAGACCTATTTTGCTTTATAAAGCAACAGTTGCTAAGGGCAACTTTGCATTATTTCCCAAGATACGACGCCACAGAAGGAAAAATGCCGTATCTACCAAATTTTGCAGACAGCAGTGCACGGGCAGGAAAAACCAGCAAAAACCAAAGCCTGTCAGATATTAATGTTCATCAGCTGATTTGCAGCAAAACCCAACCACTTGAATCCAAATATTTATGGAAAGCTATTCCAACAGGGATGTTACTCAGCGGTATCTCACATTTTGGCAAGGCTTTAAGCAAAAAAAAAAAAACCTCAGTGGCTATCGTTAATGTGCCAACTATGGCTGGATTCCAGAATCTACCTGAAAAGAAGGAAAACGTAATAAAATAAGTGCTTACTCCGGAAGGGGCTGCGTCCCTGCTGAATATGGGCCAGGTTTTCCAGCTGAAGTCGTGTTGGTATTGCTTATGCACGTGCTCACCCACCCCGTAGACGTTGCTGCTGGGGAGTTTGATGGAGAGCTGTAAAAACTGCTCGGCATATAGCAGAGGGCCGATGGTGGTATTGAACCTGGCGAAACGATGAAATGTTGCATAAGAATTTTTTATGCTGAAGGTTGGATCTATTAGGATCGTTAACCGCCTCCCCCCAAAAAAAACCCCAAGCTGTTATTTAAGAAAGTATTTGCATCATGTGCCACTACTAATTTTGTCATACGCATCTCATAATTTGGCCAAAACCAGTCATGTTGCATGTTGCAGTAAAAACACTGGGTGTTTTTAATAATAATTTATTAATTGTGAAATTTTTTTTCATTAAAACCATAAAATGCAACATTTTTTTTTTTCCAAATAAAAGCCTAAGGAAAATATAAGCAATATTCTAGAGCAGTGTTTCAAACAGGTCCCAAATTTTTTTTCCAAATTAAATTAAAGTCTAAGGAAAACCTGATTTGGGGGGCTGAGACCTTCAGGAAAAGCATCGTAAATAAGATAGGAAAGATGCAGTAAAAGGTGACGCTGGGAAGGACTTCTCATCATAATTGATGAATGGATGGCACAATTCATCAATTCTCCCCGGGATTAAGGGGAGAAGAGGGCACAGAACCAACATGGCAAAACCTAAACCCTGGGAAAGAGACCTCCCCATCGCCTATATTTTATGTGGAAAGAGTCCTGCCATCATGCTTATCCATCAGAAGAAGACGGTAAAACTCAAACCCGGAGACATAGACCCCCCCATCCCTTAAATTTTATGTGGAAAGAGTCTTTCCATACTGTTTATCCATCAAAAGAAGATGGCAAAACCCAAACACCATGCGACAGACCTCCCCATCTCCCAAATTTGTTGCGAAAAGAGCCTTTCCCTCCTGTTTATCCATCAAAAGCAGAGAAGCAGATCGCATGCCCAAGAGGGCACCTAAAGCAACGCAGACCTTCGGAGAAAACAGATGGCATCACCATTTTATGGATAAAAAGCCCAAAATTTACTCACAAGACTTTTCCATTGCTTGCTCTTGTCACCACGATGCCAAAGGGATTTTGCTGGACATCAACTTTATATTTTAAGTTGGAGGCTGCCGGACCGCTGAAAGGTCCCACGTGCTTATGGGGGACTTCAAATCGTTGTGTTTTAGGATCGGTCATCTATGCATGTTTAAAGAACAAAATAAGTTCAAAGCACAAAATAAGTAATTTTGAAATGAATGCCTCATTTTAACACTTTCCAGCACAACCATCCAAATTTGACTTGGCAAAAAAAAAAAAACCCCACCCGTCGTCAAAACAGCATCACGACAAGAAGCGGTCAACATCAATAAATGGCAAAATTAAGACTGTGCGAACCTACTCAGCTGGCTCAACCTGCTTTCAGGAGGATTTCCCTTTCTCAAAAACTTCTTCTGCTG